GGAAATGGGAACCTTCTATCTTCTTAGTATACCTGAAACTTTATTGAGGGCTGCAGAAATTGTGTAGACCAATTGATCTAAAACAGGGACAATTTTCCTGAAAAAACACATTGCTGTGATGGACCAGGAAAGTATTCTAAGCAAATGATTAATGGGCATTTCTTCCAAGATAAGGAAGAAGAGGTCTTCCCACTGGACTCTCAGCCTGGACCTTGCCTAGTAGGGATCCATGTGCTGGCATACCTACCAGGACGCAGAAGAGTATGTTCATAGCACATAAGACACGTACTTTGGAAGAGACCAGAAAAAGTGAACCTTCCACTTATTCCAGTGGAGAGGGGAAAACACAGTCTTCCAGTCATGAAAAGGAAGTTAATGAAAGTGGTTTAAATACAGATGAATCTAATCAGAGTTCAGTCCTGAAAGCCAGAAATGAAACGAGAGAGTCCGAGGAGTCCAAACAATAGGCATTAAATGATCCAACTTTAAGCAATCTAAAGGATTTGGCACGCAGAGATGGAAGTGGCGGTAAACAAAAGGGAACCAGTTAAACAGAAAAGAGAGAGATGTAGTGTTTATATAGGATTTGGTGGTCTTAAAAAGAGAATTGAACTGGGAAATGGTCCACCTTTTGTTAGCTCCCCCTCAGTATCACCAGCAGTTGATGGAGATTGCGCACGATGCACCTTAGCTCACCGTAGTATCAACACTACCAGAAAAAGGTTGAATTATTATTGGCCTAACATGGCTTAGAATGTGAACACTTCGCAGTGGTGCAGAATTTTTCAAAAGTTTGGAAAAATGACCACAGGTAAAAGCACTTGTTTTACAGAACAAAACATTTGTTCATCAGTGACATCCCCTAGACACAGAAGGAGTAGATTTCTCTGTTGCAGATCATACCACAACTTATTAGAGGCAGTGGCCTTTTCTAACAGAAATTACCTCCCTCTTCGAGGTTGTGAAAACACCGGGGAAGAGATGGTTTTCAAAGCACTGCATACCATCTCAGATTAATGGTCTTGCAGAAGGAGTTAATGGAGTTCTAAAAATTATGATTAAAATTTCAGCAACAGGGATTCAGAATGATCGGATGAAAATGCTGTTCTGTTTTCTGTTTGCACATTGGGCTATTCCTCAAAAATCTATTGATTTCACTCCATTTTGAGTGGATGTTTGGGAGAGGTGTAAGAACACCACCTCTGTTCATGTTGAAAGGTGAACTGGTAGAACATCAAACCTTGGATTGATTTGTTACTGTTTAGGAACAGGTGGGGGCTACAAAGTTGGTGGAAAACAAGTGACTCAATCGCCTAAATGGTAAATGGTTCTATTTTAAATGCATGCCTCAAAATGTGGTATGTCAAAAGGGCAGGGCTGATAAAATTTGAACCAGGAGACCATGCTATGGTCTTTATTAAAGTCAGACAAAAATCAGCCTCAGGGAAGGATCTTATATTATGCAGAATCAATTGGAGGAATATACCTCTCAATAGGAGGATGCACTAGGAAAATTTGGGGGAGGGTACCTTTTTTTTTATCCTTCTGGACCTCTCATCAGCTTTTGATATTGTTGCCTATGATATTGGATACTGGAGTGCTTGAGGCAGTGGGTTGGAGGTGCTTCTTTGCAGCGTTTCTGCTCCTAAGGTTCTGGGTCAAGTGATACTGGAGGACCTCTGCTGGTCCCCCTTGGAATTATCCTGTGGGGCCCATAAGCTATCGCGAAGGATCATTTGCAATTTTGGACCTAGTCTTCATGAATAGGCTTATAAGTACATAAACATGATATCCATCCATAATAAATATTGGCTATTTCCTGCAAGCTTGGGGAAGAACATCTCTGAATTGCAAGGGGCTGGATGTGGGAGAACAAACTGAAGCCCAGTACAGACAAGATGTTACTGCTTCTACAGGCTGGACTTCCAGATTTAGAGAAATGCCTGTTGCACCCTCCCTTAAGGATCAGGTTTCGGGATGTTCCTGGGTCCAGCATTGGTGCTGGTCAGCCATGTGACAGTGGCAAGGAGGGCTTTTGATTAGCACCACCGGATAAACCAGCTGCCTCGTATCTGGAGGAGACTTGACATTAATGTCTAAGGTGCTGATAACCTCAAGGCTGAATTATTGGAAAGGGTTCCTTGTGGGGCAGTCTTGAAAGCAGTCTGGACATTTTTCTGGCCTGGAGTGCCAGAGTGGCTACACGGGGTGAATGGTTCCTCCCCAAGATCCCACCACAATCCCATATTAAAACAGTTACTGGTTGCCTTCTGAACCAATTTCAGGTGCTCGTGATGCTGCAAAATGCTTTATACCTGCTTGCAAGGACACCAACTTGTTTAGAGTCTTCCTGGCACTCTTGGATCATCAGTGGACACTTCATATGGGATCTGCCAGGGATACTTTTAATATTGACAGTTAATTCTGCTTTTTCCATGACCACATTGTGGGAAAAAATGCCACTGGAGCTGAAGGAAGCCCTCTCTTCATTATAATTTATTTATTTAAATATATTGGCCACCCAACTCCAGCGGACTTAGAATGTATTATTTGTTTACTCAGGCCCTTTAACTGTTTCAACTATTTAAAATTTAATTATTTAAAGTGAATTGTTTTATTGCTTTAATAAAGGTTTAAGGTTGTTTTTACTGTAATGATATTTCTGTGGTTTTAATTGCATTTCTGTAAGCCAACCTGACCTGTTAAGAAAATGGGCAGCATGCCAACACTTCAAATAAATAAATCTGTAAGAAAAGAAGCAAATGTGGCTGAGGAAGATGGGCTGGAGCAGATACTTTGCATGAAGAATTTTACCACAGAAAAGAAAGAGAAGGTTTTACCTGTAATTCATAAGTTAAAACATTTCTTCAATAACAAAAATAATCCTCCCATTAGACTGAGCCCAGGTAAAGGAAATGGGACTTTATCGGTGAGTATCTGAAGAGAGGATTTTAAAAATGCTGAAAAATGTGGACTTTTGGTGAAAATACATGGTGAACTAGTCATTCCTGAAGGAACAGGGATGGCATTGCAGCAGAGATCAGTGGCCAGATGGTGAATTCTGGCCAGCAAAATCTCTCCGGAAAAGGAGAGATAGTGAGATCACCCACATGTACTCTGGACAGCTGCTCCTTGTGATTAGACTGCGGAAACCAAAGTGTTTGTGGTCGACTTGTGAGTCAAACAATTGAGAGTCAAGGGATTTCAATCAAGCTCACAGCCATAATGTAGCCTATATGGACATAAATTTTACTGAGCCTCATTTCTTAATCACTTTCAGAAATTACTTCTTAATTGCTTTTCAGCTATTAGGAACCTTCAGATCGACAAGTTTTATAGCATTCACCAGGTGAGTTTCCTTCAATCCTTTGCAAAAAAAAAGTTTTAAATACAAGTTTAAGGACATTTAAAAATTCTCCTTTTTTTGGAATAAACAGCAAAAGGGTGATTAGAACATTGATTTTGGAAAGTTACAAAAGGACTAGGGGTCCAGATGGATTTGAAAAGATTTTGAAAATAATTATAAGAATCCTTCCCATGGGAAAGTGCTGTTGTTTTGAATTCTTAAAAAATGATAGGATGGGACTTTGAAGGTTGGACACTAGAAGGAACCAGAAGGAACT